CCTTTCTCACTTTCTTCCACTCTGGATGTATCAACCGTGCAGAACAGGGTATCTGTTGGAAAGCCAACAGCCACGAATGTGCCGTACCGTAGTAATTGGGTATCAAAAGGATGGGCAACCACTCAATTGATGATGATGTACCTGTCTGTGTTCTTTTTAGAAGTTCCCTCCTGTTCCTGATCCTGAGAATCCTGGTGCCAAGCCATTGGTCACCCCTGAACTGCCCTCTCTGACCACCTGCCAAATCCAACAGTATCCGTGAAGGTCGTCGGCGTTGTGTTCGACAGGGTGATGGTTCGCAGTCCACTCGGTTGGCTTGCTGGAACCTCCGCGTATGACGCCCTTGGGCTCGTTTGAGTTGTATGAGGAGGGGCTGCGTTGCGTACGAGGGCGTCTATCTGGTCTCGGGCTTGTTTCAGCTCCTCAGAGAGCTGCTGAATCGCGTCTTGCTGTTTGTAGACCACGTCGCGGGCTTGTTTCAGCTCTTCGCAGAGCTGCTGAATCGCGTCTTGTTGTTTGCTGACCACGTCGCGCAGTTCGCAGATTGTGTTCAGTTGTTCGGCGATTATCTCGCGCGTCTCGTTTTGTTGCTCGTTGATTGCTTCTAGGATCGTTTGGAGCGCTGTTTTCCCGCTTCCGCCTGGCCGTTGGCTCCGCTTCCGCCTCCCAGTACGCGTGTTCCTCTCGATGCGGTGCTTCGTGTAGCATGGATTGCGGTTCTTCTTGACGTAATGGCCGCATCCTCCAGCGATTGCATCGCTTCACGGACTTTCGCACTCGGTTTCGGGGCGCGGCTCGGTCGTTTCGGTGAGGGTGGGCGGTCGGCCACCTCGATCACTGCTTCGGGTTGCGCCGCCGCCGCCATCTCGCGATCCCTTGGCAGGGCGGCTCAGCTTCCGAAAAAACCGATTTTCTGTTGGATTGAGCAGACAAGTAACGCGGTCCCAGGCTTCAGAATCCCCTTACTTCGAAGAAGATAGGGCAGCTCCCTCAAAGCTAGGTATCCGTCCGCCTCGCGTATGCGAGCAAGGAAGGTCTGCGCACGTAAAGTCTAGTCACGTGGCCTTCTACTTCGCCATTTCTTTCTGCGGCCACGCGCGTTTTGTATTGGGTTTTCCACGAGAATCGAAGGCCCACCAAGGCAAATGACCTGCAAGCACGGAGCCGAATTTGGCGGGGAAAATGGAGGACCCACCGGTTTTCGGCGGACCGAAAACCGGGTTTTTGGTACGCTCGGACCTGTGATACCAACCGTTACTTGGGGGTTCTTGGCATTGCTGCGCAGGGCCACCTGCACGAAAGAAACACGGTAAAAGAGGCACATACGACCGTTGAATGGGCGTCACGGTTCTTCGGCCGCGTGAACAAGGGCATGTCATCTGCCGGAGTCTGCTCAAGCAAGTATCGTAAGACCACGGTATCACCATGGAATCAGGTGGACAAAGAACGCGACACAAAAAAAGCGTACAATCTCCATATCCTACCAGCAACTCAGACCGGGTCGTCGTGGTACACCGGCCCCTCGGTGTCATAATGGGGCGGATCCTCAGGACCGATGGGCCGGCCAACTCGTACCCTCGCCCTCTCTTCCATCTTGGCCACCCACATGGCCGCCCCAGCAGTCGTGGTCAACAGGAAAAAGAAACTCAGGACGGGGACAAGCTCCAGGATCATGGCAACCGTGCCAAACCAGAGATACTCCCAGCGCCTAATCTTCAGCTCCGTCTTCTTATCCTTCTTGTTCAAGCCCCTCAGCACGAACCATCTATGGTGGGACAGTTTGCCGAGACGCAACCCGGTGATCATGATGAAAATGGGTGGGCCGATGTAGGGCATGAGGTTGAGCGGCAGGAAGACAATCAGCTCCACGATTTGTATGATGCTCCAAGGCTGGTACTCGGCGCGGCTTGTCGGCTTGCCGAGCATGCGGACGGAATTCGTGGCTTCAAGGAAGAGGACGCGCTGCGGGGCGATGAGGTCGACGAGGCCATAGTTGATAAGGGTTGCCTGCCAGGAAGTGAATCAGTAATGCTGTGATGGGTTTAGGGGCGCAGCATGTGGTTTAGCCTACGTCGAAAACGTCGACCCGGGATTCGTCCACAAAGAAGCCCTCAAAGAGTCCCTGTATGATCACCAGGCCCTCGCCGAGCACCAGGACGGTCGTCGCAAAAGCGGCGCCTGCGCTGCCGTGGAAGATAAGAAGAAACAGAAACTGCGGCAAAAAGGCAAAGGTGAAGAGTATCAAGTAGACTACGAAGGAGATAACGGATAGCGGAAGGAGGCGGCCAACGAAAAGCGGATAGAACTCGGGATGGGATGCGAAATACCAGATGCCCCGGATCGGATACGAAGCAGCTGTCAGCGCGCGACTCGTTGATTCGATGAAGTGATGAAATGGGCGAAGAATTACTGCGAAGCGGGACGAGCCGCGGCCCGACGTGGCTTGCGAGGGAGGCATCGTCGTTGCGTTGGGTGGTGTCGCGCTGCAGTTCGCGGCAGGCTGAAGGTGGAGTTGGAGAAGATGGGCCCGCTGGAATCAACTGCGTCATCGGGGGAGGCCTGGCGCCAAGGATAGGGTTGAGCAGTGGCCTGACTTTCAAATATCGATTTCTGACCCGACCTCAGCTTCTCATCATCCCCTGGGCAACATTTTATGGGCGTCGTTGGCAACGAATCCAATATATTTGTTGAGAACCAAGTCATTGACGTTGCTATATACTTAAGCTATATACAGAAACCACAGCCGCCCCTCGCACCCCGGCCCACTCTCAACCCTCAAAGTCTTCTTGTTGCCTCTCTCAAGCGTTGTTAATCTTCTGGATGAGGAACCGGGGAGCCTCTCCGGAGGCGGCCGGCCCGTAGCCAAAGTGGGCGTATGTGACGGTGAGCGTGCCGTCGCAGACCAGATCGCCCGTGTTGCAGAAGACCTTGACCTTGTCGGCGGGGAAGTTGGGGATCTTGCCGCCATTCTACGCCATCAATGTCAGCTTGCATCCTCGATAGAGTGCTGGCTCCGGCCAGAAATACCTGTTTATTCCGAGTATATCCAAACAGGACGACACCCTTGATCTGGTTCTGGATGGTGGACGACAGCCCGCTGATGGCGGCGGCCATGACGGCCGTGCCCTGGCTGTAGCCGCCGGCGACGACGGCCGCGTTGGGGCACTTTGTGTTGGCCATGGTGAACATCCTCTTGGCCTCGTCGATGGCGGCCTGCGTCGTGCCCTGCGGGAGCGCGTTGTCCGCCAGGCCCGCCGTGTATGGCCCGCCCACACCCTGTACCCACAGGTTCCTGGGATACTCGTCCGAGAGCTCACGAGCTACCGCGGGGCCGGTGCTCGAGCCCTGTTGGGAAACGTCAGCTATTTGCGGGTTCAGCTAGGCAATATGAGGACGTACCATGTTGCCGCTCTCGGTCGAGGCGCGGGCAAAGATGAATATGACCTTGGGGCATGCCGACGAGCTACCGCTCGTAAGCTCGTTGCGGGTACTGCTGGAGGTCCACTGGCGGGCGAAGATCTCTCCCTCGGTTTCCGGGGCAGTGGGAAGAGCAGCGGCAAAGCCGGCGGCAGCGAGGATCTGGACGAACTTCATGGTTGCGTTTGGGACAGCGTGTCAAAGGAGGGACCGTATGTCAAAAGGAGCGACTGGCAGTTGATGGGCTGAGTGAGCAGGAACAATCGGAAAGAAGACCTGATGGACAACAAGCTCTTGACCAAAGCCAGAGGTCTTGATGGGCGGTATTTATGCCCCAGCTTCGACTCCGACTCTTCACAGCTCGTGATGGTCTCGCCTTCCTGCCCGGCCTGCATGGCATCTCGAAGCGTCCGGATCTGCGCTAGCCCTTCGGGCCCCAATGTCGCTTTACCAAGGCCGCCTTAGCAGAACGTGACCGCAAGCCCCTGGCTTCTCCATGTTGTTGTTTCGATCGCCGGTGATCAGAACGCCTTTCCGTCCTGGGTTTGGACTCTCCGGTATTAGTTCCCGACTCGGCAGGTCTTGCAGGCTGGTCTGGAGAATCCATGCAGCCAGTGTTCCGACGGCCATGAGGATCTGCCCTGCCAAGCCAACCGTGCTTTGGCTGCGCCGGGACAGCCGATAGGGTGATCGCCCACCACCGGCAGTCGTTTGCTGAATGCCAGACTCCACTAACTACTCCACCGCTTGGTGAAACACGACTCAGTCACACGAGCCCCCGACGCGATACCGAAAACAGCGCTGCTTGCGACCAACGACAACAACGCCGAGGTTCACACAGCAAGCCAAGAACCCACGAGCATCACCAACCTCAGCCTCGGCACGCTTGTTGGGGGAAGATGTGGTGATGGTCGAAAAGGTCCTTGATCGAGAAACTTCACTTAACAAGAAACAGGTTTGAACCCAAAACCGAGAAAAGGGCGCACCCACCATCTCCCTCAACCCCTATCAGAGAACGGAAAGGCTTCATCCCACATGCACCGCACCTGTTTCCTGAACATGCTTCAAGGTTTCACCTTCGCAAGCCTTCCTCGCTATCCACGTCATCCTGTATAACCAATGGCTTCTACCTGGAGCATCATAGTGTGCTGATCATTACCCTGACAGGAAGAATCACAGGATCGGATCCTGCAGATGCTGTCCAAGACCCCAAATCCTTTCGGCCGCTATCTGGACCGGTCACTCGGTCTCAATAGTGCTTCGGTATTGTTGCTTTTTCTGACATCCATATTCGTCAAGGTACCCTCAATATCAACGGGGCGAGACTTGAAGGTAGGAGTCCATAACGTCTAACGGAATAAGGAGATGCTATGCCAGGACTAAATACATGTCCATAGGACCAACGATGGATGCAACAAGATGGCGATACAAACATCCTCGGGAGAGCTACTTGAAACCTTGAAACCACCGGCCCTGCAACCATGCCCGAGCCAATCAGGCATACAATTCCGGATACGTTGCCTTGATCATGTCGGCGCCCTGGTCACGGCTGTTAGCCTCGACACTGATACTGCAGTTGTGGGAAAGGGGGGGTAATGGGGAGGAGTTCTCACTTTCTCACCGATCATGTACACCGAGTTCTGGATGCGGCAATCCGGGATGACAGGAATCACCGAGGCATCGATGACGCGCAGCTTCTCGACGCCATAGACGCGCAGCTTGCTGTCCACCGCGCCCTGATTGATGTCCTTGCCCATGCGCAAGCTACCGCACGGGTCTATTCACGACGCCCAAATGTCAGCCGCTGGTAAAACATGCCTCCAAATCCAAAGGATAAACTTACGGAACCCAGTCTGTGACCGCTCCAAAATCATCTTGTTCATCGCCTCATCCGAGTGGCGCGGCATAGGCCAGGGGTAGTCCTCCCCAATAATCTCTCTCATCCCCTCGCCCGTCATGAGCAAGTCATCCACCCAGCGGACACCCTCGCGCATAGCGACAATATCCAGGTCGTCCGCAAAGAAATTGAGATTCACCTTGGGCTGCTCCAGCGGATCCGCCGAGTTAAGCGTAACTGTGCCCGTCTTGGACAGCGGCCGCAGCAGGTCGACAATAACCGTCAGGTACTCCCCCCGCGCCGGCGCCGGGATATGCCACTGGAACGCGTCCGAGAACATGGGTACAAAGTCAATCTCGAAATGCGGCTGGCCGGCCGGGCCGAAGGGGTCGAGCCCGCCGTTGGCCGCCTTGGCCACGACGTACTCGGGGATCTTGTTCAGGCGGTCGTCGATGCGCGGCAGGCCGACCAATTCGAGCAGGCCGCTTGTCAGGGGCCCCTTGTTCTTCCAGCGGTAGGCCGACGTGGCGGCGTCCTTTTCGAGGCCCGCGCGCAGGAGGTGGTTGTCGAGCCCGTGACCGTCCTTGATGCGAAAGACGTGCGGGAGGATCGGGTGGTCGAGGAGGTTCTGGCCGACGTGGGGGGAGTCGACGACGGCGGTGATGCCGTACTGGGTGAGGGCGGATTTGGGGCCGATGCCGGAGAGCATGAGCAGCTTGGGGGACTCGAAGACGCCGCTTGAGACGATGACTTCGTGCTTGGCGGTGAAGGAGTAATCGTTGCCGTCGGGTCCGATGACTTCCACGCCGATGGCTTTGCCGTTCTCGATGACGAGGCGCTTGGAGTTGGTCTTGGACATGACCGCGACGTTGGGCTTGCCGACCAGATACATCCACGACGAGGACCGCTTGCCGTTGTAGATGCTGTTGAGGCACTTCCACAGACCGCGCATCGTGCCGTTGTGCACGTCGTCCGTCAGCTGCTCGCCCTTGCTCAGCCAGGCGCTGGTCAGCGCGTTACGGAAGCCGGCCACCTCGGGGATCAGGTCCGAGTGGGAGATTGGGAGGGGTCCGTCCTGGCCGATGTACTTGAGCTCGGGGGAGAAGAGCTTATGGTCGTCGTGGTAGGTAGCCGGCTTGTACAGGTACTCGCGGCACTTCTCCCACGTCCACTCGTCGCCGCCGAACTCGGCCCAGTCGTCAAACGTGGCGGCGCTACCGGGAATCCAGGTATAGTAGTTGAGGCAGCTGCTTCCACCGAGCGTCTTGCCGCGCGTGTTCGGCTTCTCGATGCGGGTGTATTCCGGGCGGTCGATCATGGTCGTCTTGTAAGCCCAGTCATACTTGCTGTCGCGCAGCTCAAAGGCGCGAGCAGGCGTCGTGATGGCGTCGACGTCGCCGGGGTTGCTGATGCCGGCTTCAATGACCAGGATTTTGACGTTGGGGTTTTCGGCGAGGCGGCCAGCTACGACACAGCCAGCAGTACCACCTAAGTAAGTAGTGTAAGGTAAGTCTATGATGGGAACGAGGTTGGCAAGAAGGTCTACGAACCGCCCACGACAATGAAGTCGAACTCGGTTGTGTTCTCGACTGCGGTGGCCATGGTTGAAATAGCTCTTGCTGACTGTGGTGGGCGAAATTGGGCGATTTTGCGCTTTTAGGTAAGGCTGTAGGTGCTTGAAGTGTAAGGAACTGATTTCCTATAGGTGATGAGCTGGAATTAAGGCTTTCTGAAGAGGTTGAAGAACTGCTAGAGAGGCTGCCTCTGCTGACGACGTTGAGGTTACTGCAAGTACTGCTGATCGTGAATGTTGAGACTGCTGAGGATGAAAATCTCCGGACAGGATGCATTGTGTCCTTATATCTTGAGACGGCATCTCGAAGACGTGTTCTGGTTATTGTCGATCCCAGACATAGCATCTCGAACAACTGGTCCGGACAGCGTCGATGACGTCGGCGTCTCAGTGAGCACGCTCCCATGCCTCAGCAAAAATGCTTGGGAGTACCACGGGCAATACATCTAAGCCCTGCTATTCAGCCCATCGATAGGGCCTAACTTACGTGGCTCAGGCATCGGGATTCTCCGACGACTGTGTTTTTCCCCGAAAACGAACCACTTGACAACGCTTGGCTTCTGTTTGCTGATTGAGGCCAGCACTCGCAGTGACGATAACTTGAACGATTGAGGCTCTTGCTGAGTTGAGTGCCCCTGTCGATTGGTTGTGAAGTAGTACCGGAGTTGTTCGGGGTCCCGCCTTGGTGTTACTCACAAGGGAGGATGAGTAAGTGTCACACGCAAATGGATACAGCTCAGAAAATGCCGAGGGTCCCCCAGCAATCTTTACGGTATTTCAGGATGGTAGGGGGATGTTCAGCGTCTAGGAAGAGCATAAGGTAAGGGACAGGTAGTTCAAGACATAGCGGACTTCAGGTTCACAGACGCCTGAACTATTGACAATGATTATTGCATTCATTATTTGAATGGTAGCACTGCACTTAAAGACCTCAACCTCATAACGTCGTCGAACTTCCGACAGCTCAATAAGCCTGGAAACGCCAACCGTACATTATTTTGTCGGCTTTCCTCAAGTCGTATCGACGCTCAACAGCTACACCAGATTTCGGCTTCAGAGCTCAGGTACCCCAGCACGGCAATGGGTTCAGTCGAGAAGAACGCTCCGCTCTATACTTCAGCCGAAGGTGCGGCTTGCCATCCTTTCAAGCTTTCAAATGTTCTACTGATTGAGACCTGAACAGGATGTCCCTATGCGGACGCGACCACGGCGCAGCGCTTCAGTGATGGCTCGCCCGTCAAGGGATTGATGCTCCTGCAGGACACACAGCTTATTGAGACACTGGCGCACTTCAGCCGCGAGCGCATTCCTGAACGAGTTGTCCATGCCCGCGCAGTCGGAGCCTGGGGCGAGTTTGAAGTAACGCATGACATCTCCCATCTGACTTCTGCCAGGTTTCTCACGGGCATCGGCAAGAAGAGCAAGACACTGTGTCGCATCTCCACCGTCGGCCCGGGAGCCGGCAGCGCCGATACCATCCGAGCTGTTAGGGGCTGGGCCCTCAAGATCTTCACTGAGGAGGGCAACCAGGACTTTGTCTTCAACAGCATCCCCGTCTTCTTCGTCCGCGATCCCATCAAGTTCCCCTCGCTCAACCGCTCGCACAAGCGCCATCCTGCCACCAACCTCAACGACGCTACAACGTTGTGGGACTTCCACGTCCACAACCAGGAGGGCATCCACGCGCTAATGCTGCTGTTCAGCGAGCGCGGCACTCCCAAGACCGCCCGCCACACAAACGGCTACAGCGGACACACGTACAAGCTTACCAAGCCCGACGGCACCTTCCACTACGCCAAGTTCCACTTCAAGTCCAACCAGGGCAACGAGACGCTGACCAACGACGAGGCAGTCCGTTTGGCGGGCGAAGATCCGGACAACCACACAGCCGATTTGTACAACGCCATCGAAGCAGGCAACTTTCCGTCCTGGACGTTGTACATCCAGGTCATGACGCCGGAGCAGGCCGAGACGTACCGCTGGAACGTCTTTGACATGACCAAGGTGTGGCCGCACGCCGACTTTCCGCTTCAGCCGGTGGGCAAGCTCACGTTTAACAAGAATGTAATTGACAAACACCTCCGTTTTGATTCTGCCTTCTGCTAACCTTAGGTTTATCCCAGCCGAACAACTATTTCGCCGACGTCGAGCAAGCCGCCTTTTCCCCGTCTACTATGGTCCCCGGCCTAGCCCCCTCCGCAGACCCAAGTACGCCGCCCCCTTACACGTTAAAGTAATCCCTTCTAACCTCCCCCATCCACCACTAACCCCCGTTCCACCCCAGTCCTCCAGGCCCGCATGTTCGCCTACCCCGACGCAGCACGCTACCGCCTAGGCGTCAATTACCAACAGCTGCCATGCAACCGCGCCTTAGCGCCCGTCTACTGCCCCTACCAGCGCGACGGCCTCGCCACCGTTAACGGCAACTACGGCGGCGACCCCAACTATGTCCGGTCCGGACTGAAACCTGTCATCTCCTTCACAGTTCCGAGCAGCTCTAGCAGTGGAAACCATTTTGCGGCGCAGAATGCCAACTTGAAGCACAACGCCTGGGTCTTGGGCTCGGTGGATGACTACACGAGCGAGGTGACGGAGGAGGATTTTGCGCAGGCGAGGATGTTTTGGGAGAAGGTTCTGGGTCGGCAGGATGGGCTGCAGGAGAGGTTTGTTGGGAATGTGGCGGTGCATTTGAAGAGAGCGAAGCCTGTGGTTTGGGAGGACACGTTTGGTATGTTAAGTGTCGTTCTTCTGCTGCAATCATTTTCCTGACAAATTGCTGACGGCATGCAGATATGTTCACGCGCGTTGCCCCTGAGCTGGGCGAGGCCATTCGGAGGGCTGTTGTCCCCCAGGGCCAGAAGGCTTAAGTCGAGGGGTGTGGAAACGACTGTCAGGACTGGCCGACGGATGGCAGTTGTAAATGGACTTGTTTATCATTGATTTTGGTAAAACGGTGTCGTTCGGGCAGGATTTCATATAACATCTGTTTACACGCATTTTGCTCCTGACGGACACATAACAATGGGATGCATGTCTCAATTTAACCAAGGGCTAAGGTGATCCAATCCACCTTGGACTGCTTCATCCACCAGAACATGCCAGACACCAACCGCCACCCTCAACCGCCTACTGCAGCGTGATACTCGACGACCCGCTACTTCCCGGCCCGCCATTCGCGGTATACCCCTCGGTAGCCATGATGACATAGTCATGATTTCCCAATCTCATGCCCAGCTTGGCCCACTCGTCAAAGTGGCGCTTAGTGGTGACGGTGCCGCCGACACGCTGCTGTTTCCGCACCGACCAGTACTGCTGGAAGGTGCGGGTTCCCTCGATTGACGGCTTGTTGACGCGCGTGCTGGTGAAAACCTCGTAGTCACCCTCCTCAAACGTGAAGTTCCCCTTGGACGTCCACGGTTCGTTGGGCGCCAAGTCGGCGTGCGCCTCAATGATGTAGTACTCGATCAGGGGGTTGCGCGTCCAGCCGTAGACGGCGAGGTAGCCCGGCCCAGTGGCGTTGTAGGTGCCCGTGTACTTGATAGCTCTGTGACGGGCAGGGTGTTGGCTTCGTTAGTTTGGGCTAAGGCATTAAATATCTAGGAGAGCTCACCGGTTGCCTCCGTAGCTCCAGCCCTTGCCGCACACAAAGCCACCCTTGCTGTTCCAGTTGGCCGTGTACGAGCCGCCGGCGCCGTTATTGCAGCGAATATTGCTGCCGCCTTCAGACCAGTTTTGAAAGTAGTAACCTCCCTGGCGTGGCGAGAGCTCGCTTTCGGTCCTGGTCTGGGGTCCGGGAAGGGGACCGGCCAGGACGGTAGGGGCCACCAGACTGGCCGCAAGGTGAGACAATCTGACCATGGTGCTTAACTTATTTATCGACTCTTTGTGTTACACTAGACGGAGAACTAGTAGCAGAATACAGAGGGGGGGCATGGTCCCTTTATACGCTCTAGCGTAGGGCTACAGGCGAGGATCCGCGCGGCCCTGACGATCCGTCTATTCAAGATCCAATTCAAAACCAGAAATATAGGGCATCTCCCTGAAAGGCCTGATATGGCTATACATACAGGACATACCCTGTACCGTCTTGTGGTCGGCGCAAAGGACTCGGGATATTAGGGCGTCTGGTCCTGGATATCACGCTGCGCTGGCCATGGCATTCAGCCTGAATGTAGTCTGGTTATAGTACAGCGCTCCTTAAGACCGGCGTTAGGTATTGGAAGCTAGGTCCGTTATGCAGCAACACATGCCGATCTTTCAGTCAACCCATGCGGAACTCCTTTAAATACCCATGCAGTTGTAGTTGATCAATTCTCCAGTTGTGCGGAGTAATTCCGTTCACTGCCGGCATCACATATTCCGGGGAAGGTAGTAATACCGGACAGCTACATGCATATCCACGGCTAGGCGCGCCACTGACGTTGGACAGTCAATGGTGGTTGGACTAGGGGGGGCGCTCTAAGTCTCAAGTCGTGTTTCAGAGGTCATGAGCCATGAGTATATAAACGATACGCACACGGGAATCTACCCAGGCGCGTCATCAACTTTGGTATGGGATCCTTCGTGGGATGGACTCAGGTAATCGAGCTCTGCGGTATGAAGCCCCATGATACACATCGACATCCAGGTCTGGTACCTGTTCAGGTTATTGTTGGTTCATGGCCGTGGCCGGCCCTCCCACAGTGTGTTTCAACCGGGAGATCGAAAGGAGAACTAGGGTCTAAACATTGGACATTAGCCGGTTGGAGACAGCCGTGCAATCCCATCCAAAAGATCCGTCGTGGCCGGCCCCCATTCGAAGCATCATCACATCTACAAGCGCGCCAACCATATAAAGACCACGTAAAATGCCCAGGGTGACACACCGGGTGGATCAGCACCCAACCATCTAACCTCAGTATGGCTTCAACCTGCTCTTTGAGGGACTAGTGGAGGTAGCTTTGGGCAACGGTCGAGCACACCAAGGCAGTGCGGACGGCCCGGGAAGAAAAAGATAGGCGACTCGGATACCGGGAGTCGAACCCGGGGCTGTTGAGAGAGCAGTCACTCCTGAGAAGTGAGAGTCAACGATGTTACCGCTACACCATACCCGATTAACTCGTGTTTGGTTCCGATCTGTTGAAGTTGGCAAATCTAAGCAAACCTATCAAGCAGAATTTTTAGGCAGTGGAGCGAAGCTCAGGCCTCAGGGTTCACTCCGTTTCCCCAAGGCACGGCGCTTACCCTAACCCTTAAACCCACACAGCCATGAGTTTCTCGGCACGCCCTTCGTGTCACGGCCCTCGCCATGAATGAGGCAACGCGACCCCGCGCTCAGCTGGCTCACCTTGAAGTACAGTACCTTTCCAGCACTAACACGCATCTCCAGACCCCAAAACACCCCGCGTCAGAAACAGAGCATCACAATGGAAGTAACCTGTCAATGCGGCGCCGTGACCTTCACGACCCCAACCCCGAAACCGCTCGCGCTTTACCACTGCCACTGCACCGAATGCCGCAAGCAGACCGCGTCCGCCTACGGCTCGAGCGCCATCTTCCCGGCGGCCGGCCTCTTCCCGCTCTCGGCCAACCTCTCCTCCAAGCTCGGCGTGTGGACGCGCCCGACCGACTCGGGCGGCTCCATGGACTGCTACTTTTGCAGGGAATGCGGGGTTAGGGTGATGCACCGCATCAAGGGGCCGGATGGCGTCGAGAGGGATACCGTCAGCATCAAGGGCGGGTTGCTTGGAGGGTTAGATTGGAAGGGGGCGCCGCATATTTACACGCGGAGTGCGGTTGTTGAGTTGCCTGAGGGCGTGGACACGTGGGAGGGGGCGCCGGAGGGCATGGTTGGGAGGAGGCAGTGATGGAGGAGGCAGTGATGGAGGAGCTGGGAGGTGAGATTCAACCTGTTGGGAATCATCTGGATCAGTAATCAGCCGAGGTTATGATGGGCATCAGACGATTGGTATATTCCATAATGCCAGGGAATCAAAAGAGCTGCCAAGCCTTGACTCTCGTTCGGTTTGGAGATCAGTGTCGCCGGTTCTGTGAACACTCAACCTCCCAGTCAGCAGTCTTGGTCTTCCGAACCGTCGCATGGTGTCTGAATTAGCAATTGGTCCTATTATGGCTGGATCAGACAACGAGATTGAGGCATTGTCAAGTTACCTTAGGAGGTAGTCGGGGATAAGCGATGACGAGTCGCACGCTGGACTGGCTGCCTGGTACTCGCATTTAGTGCAAACCATGAAGGCTGACGTGAGTTTCTGACCGCAGACGGGAAGCCCGCGCAGTCTCCGAGACACCCCGGACGCCAAGCAGGTGTGAATCGCCGCCGGAGATATGGCCTGACCGCAGGAAATCCCGTTCGACAACTTACTGCATTGGCCGGGAAGAACACCACCTTTGTTGTGTTGATTGGTCGGTGGGAGTTCCTAACCATGTTTGCCGCGTTTATCCCCTATTTTTGCACTGAAACCCCACAACCCGCTCCGTCCAAGACTCCGCAAAGTGAGCCCCATCCGGTGTCAGCCCAATCGAGGGCGTCATCCGGCCGTTCCGAACCGGAGTTACCACACCCCCCGGCCATGATGTTTGCAGGGAGCTGCGTCGCTGCGGAGTCGTGAGATGACCTAGATAAACCTTGATAGCCCAGATCATACTCAGTCATCCAACCACATAACCATCTTGCCTGTTTCCAACCCGAAGTCTTTGAGCTTAGCAGAGACGCACGAGTTTGCCACCATGGGTGCAGTTGCCCTTCCCAAAGCTGCCCGGCCCCTCAACAATGACGTCCTCCTGATCGCGGCGCCAGCTGTAATCCCGCGAGACGAGAAGTGGATGGCCAAACTTGAATCCCTTCACCCCGGACTCAAAGTGCGATGGGTCGGTCAGTCAGGCGGCTACCCGCCGGAACCGCTGCCAGAGGAGCTCTCCAAAGAAGTGACCCTTCTCTGCCCCCTATGGGACTACCCAGCCGAGCAACTTCCCAATGTGCGCTTCGTGCAGCTGCTCTCGGCCGGAGCGAACCTATGGGTTAAAAACGACCTCTACAAAAACCGCGACATCATCTTTTGCACCACCAACGGCGCCCATGCGTAAGTTGACTTGCCACCCATGGATGGTGAACCGGACTGACCTGAGCTCACAGCCCGCAGATCGCGGAGTGGGTAATCGGCACCTGGCTGATGCACAGCCACCACTTTCTGGACTACGCAGCGCAGCAAAAGAAGGCACAGATAGCCCGTCTCAACAACCTCGGCGTGTACGACTCGCCTGGCCTGCGTATGGGAGTCCTCGGCTACGGGGCGATCGGACGGCACTGCGCCAAGCTGGGTCAAGCCCTGGGCATGGAGGTCTACGCGTACACACGCAGTGAAAAGCCAACCCCGGAATCCCGCAAGGACGACAGCTACTGCGTTCCGGGCACAGGCGACCCGGACGGTATCATCCCGACGAAATGGTTCCACGGGTCGTCGAGGGAGGCCGTCAACAACTTTCTGGCTCAGGATCTTGACTTCCTTGTCTTGAGCTTGCCCCTGACGGAAGCGACCAAGCACATTCTCAGCCGGGAGCAGTTTGACATCCTGTCCAAAAAAAAGACATTCGTGTCCAACATTGCCCGCGGCGAGCACATTGACACAGGCGCGCTACTCGAGGCACTGCAGCAAGGGAAGATCAGGGGCGCGGCGCTTGACGTGACGGATCCCGAGCCGCTTCCGGACGGCCACCCGTTGTTTACCATGCCCAACGTCTTCATAACGCCTCACGTCAGCTGGGAGACGCCCTACTTGCTTCCCCGGCTGCAAGAGATCGTTGAGAGGAATCTGCACAGCCTGAGCAAGGGAGAGCCCTTGATTAACGTGATGAACCGGGAATACCATTACTAGGCGTCTAGTATCTTTCGAGATTCACCTAAGTTACTCTTAGGTCGACCCCGCTCATTATTTCTCAAGTCTTCCTTGGCTTTCTGGATTGCCTCATCGAGGTCGATGGCCCAGCAGACCGCCTTCTGTTGCTCAGTGTCCTTCTCATCGCTTCAAGATGTTCCTTGCCCGTGTTGGCAAATGCCACATGTACAACTCAGCCGCGCTCCGGCTGATCTTGACTAGCCACTAGTCTCGCTCTCGACAACTGGCATCAGAAGCCGCGAACAAGGACTCGATACTTGGGCGGTTTGGATCACTGTGGCCCCGGGGTTCCTCAAGGAGGGACGATAGCACCGCGACAACCTTCATGCAGAAGCTGTACCTGGGCTGTGATGGGGCGATGGCGTCGCTGAGGACGAGGACACGGCCGGAGTAGAAGCTGGGGAGCGACCGGCTGGCGAGATCGAAGAGGCACCACTGATGTCAAGAGATTAAGGGATTAGTTGTCGTGATCTTTCAGGCTAGGTTTTTGGAAGCTAGAATAGACTCACCCCATCCATCATGTCCTTTGTCAGCCGTAGCAGGTTCTGCACTGTCTCGCTAAACTCTATCTTTCAAGTCTCCTAGGGCATCCTCCACCGTGGGGAAGGAGGGAGAACCTCCTGGGGTTCCGGTTGCGCCACGACTCGGTCTAGTCCGTCACCAGGCCACGACTGGAGATGTCACGGGTAGTGACAGTGTGAGGTTCATGTGCGCAACTCCTGGTTCGACTGGACAGTTCGAACCACGGTCCCTCTTTTGAGGGTGTTACGCAGTGGTCAGTTGCGCCCACCCGTGACAGGAGGTTGAGGAGCTGACCAGGCCCCGGTCTCCGAGATCCGACAGACATAGTGAGGATTCCTCTGCCATGATCCATCTGCTCAGGTCAGCAACTGTCTCGTATTGGCCTCCCAAGCTGTGAAAGCAAAGGAGCTCAGCGGCGAGCAGTTTGGGCATCCGACTCTTGCTGAGTCGAGAGCATGTGTCAGTGAGTACTCACGCAAGGACTGTGCGGCAAAGTTCACGGTTGGAGTGGGATGCACACATACTTGTCAGGAAGCATTTGATGAAGCGGAAAATCTATGTATGAAAAGGCACTTCTACTTCGACGCTACATTCATTGAGTTGAGCTAGCATCGAGGCCGCCACCAGTACCGATCTCAGAGATCAAGGTGATCATCTGAAGGTATCATGACCTTCCATCTCAATAACATGAGCGCAGTGTTCATCCTCCAGGAGAAGCGGCTCCGGGTGAAAAGGCTCCACTTTGTAGACCAGCTTGACCGCCCCTTTCGGTCCTGTAACGACGTGTCCATAGTCATATCGGGACACTGAGCTCTTTGCGTAAGACCTCCTCAATACAATCGAGGAACCACTCACCAAGGCCCTGTCCCGTATATGCCGCCCTGTATTATTCCTTAGGGAATTCCAGGTCTGTACTGGGTTTGGCCTTGAAGTTGAGAGAAGTCCGTTGTCCGTGCCTTGCAGAATTCCAAGCTCCGGTCGAACAGTTTGCCGGAGCATCCCGTTTGATGCTGGCAGTTCTCCTTTCGAGTCACCCACTCAGGGACGGTACAGTGAAGGAACCTAACGGTGCCGCTTGGCGAAATCTCGAGGAGGCCAATGGTTCGGCTTTGCAATCGACGCCTCATTGCGACCACCATCCACGGCTGCTTTGCATCCCACATACTCGAGAAGTCACGGTGAATCGTGCTCCCTTCGTCTTCATCTGCCAACAGGAACGTTGTGACGGGCACCACCCAAGGTCTGGTCAGCTCGCACATACAAGATCGATATTGCTACAACGAGATCAAGAGCTAGATGACAGGAGTGGGCGTGCAACCAGACCTTAAGTACTGGAGCAGAGGCCTATGCGTAACCATGACCATAGACGTATGATCAGACCCCATGACATATGCATGACTGCAAGCATATGACATAACCATGAGAACAGGAACGGGAATCCCGTGACAAACGTCACGGCCGAAGGGTTGAAGGTGCAGGGTCGTCGGCGCGACTCTAGCAGGAGCAGGAAGCATTTTGATGATTGCGGAAGGTACTTCGAGCTGATTTGTCGTCTGATAGCTTCGAAAAGGTTCTCCACATATTGGGGTAGCCCATTGAGCGTTGCGAACAGCTGGGCGAGACTGTCCCCCACGGTAAGCCGCTCGGCTAGAGCGCGGAGGACGACGGCTACCCAAAGGAAGACGCCGTCCGCCCTCGAGGCAATGCTTCGCAATGGACTTGCGGCAGTGCCCGGATCCCCGGGCTGTGGTTCAGGGAAGGCCAGCAGCCTCTCGAAGTGACCCATGACATAGCGATGTGTTATCTCAGGGCAGTTTTGGTGGGTGATCCACCGGATGACCCGCAGATGACGGCCTCGCCTCTGAAATAACACTTTTATCTTACAGGGCGGCCGCCAGGCCGCCCGAAAAAAAAATTCAAGAGACTGCGCAGAGCCAGGTTACCCCTAAAAAGTCGAAAAAAGTAGGTAGGAGCAGAGGTCCAGTCTGATCA